AACAGAAAATGAACCCGTTCAAAGGTGTTTCTGGTAGAGGCCGCAAGTGCAAGACAAATTACAAGAAGGTTGAAGTCAAGCAAGAGCCGATGATCAAGGAAGAGCCCAACGACGGTAACGATTTCATGAACATACCACGGCCCCGAGTTGATGGAAGATATCGTGCGAATTACAAAGGGCCGTTCGATTTTGGATATGACTTCGATCAGATTAAAGACGAAATCAAATGCGAAAAAGAAGAGACGGGCAAAGAAAAGGACTCGACACCATGTGAACGATCGAATGACAACACTGTCAATGATGATGACAACGAAGAGCCAATGGGTGACGTAATCGATGTGCAACCACCGCAACCAGTTGGCAATGGAAAGAAACGGGATGGAAGATCCAACAACAAACGAACCATTCCTAAGAAAAAAGCAGCCAAAAAGCAGAAGAATCACAAATGCCATGTGTGCAATCATTTGGGACGTGACAAGTCTAACCTCAAAGTACATTTGCGAATTCACACTGGAGAAAAGCCGTTTCAGTGTGATGTTTGTTCGAAGTCCTTTGCACATAAACAAACCCTGAACCTTCATAAGAAAACGCACGGCCCGAAGCCTCAGTTCCGTTGTTCGAAATGTAATCAACGATTTGAACAAGAATCAGACAAAATCGATCATGAAAGGCTCTGTAATCCCCAGCAATTCGAATGCGACAATTGCGGATATAGAACAATCCAAAAATCAGATTTAAAAAAGCATATTCGGACTCACACTGGAGAAAAACCGTTCGTGTGCCCAGTTTGTTTCAAGTCGTTTGCAACCAACTCTGATCTTTATAGGCATTCTATGACTCACAAAGATGAACTGCCAAATGCATGTTCGAAATGTGGACGACGATTCGCCACTCCAGACGATAAGCAATCACACGAAACGCGCTGCCTACGAAGTCCATTTGCATGTGATCAGTGTCATTACAAAACTGTTCGCAAGGACAATTTGAAGCGGCACATGCAATCAAAACACGGAGCAAAAAAATCGATCGAATGTGAAATTTGCAGCAAACAATTCGTCCAACAGATTCATTTAAATCAGCATTTGTCAACAGCACACAGCGATCGCTTCCCATTCCAATGCTTCAAGTGCCTCGGAGGATTCGCAACCGAAGATGGAAAAGAGGTTCATGGAGATAGCTGTGGCCACCGTCAGTATCAATGCCATTTGTGCAAAGAGCATCGTCGTAACAAACGTCATTTGAAGATTCACATGCGAAAAGATCATACCGGAGAGCGGGTTCAATGCTAAGTGTGTGCAGCAATCTTTACCACAAAAGGTAATGCCAATCAACATATGAAGACAGTTCACCGTTTGAAGAAGATTTAAGTCGCACATCCCACAGATTTAATAAAACGTAGCCGAATTGAAATATTTCATGATTCGTAAAATTGATTGAATTCATAGCTTGATGCATACTCCATGATTACCATCTTAGACTTAAACTACATTTTTGATTCAAATAAAACACAAATAAATTCAAATAGCAACAGAAAAAGAGAAGAGTGTTGACTTTTCGGAGTTTTTTTTCGCAGCAATTTCTTCTTAGCCATCAAGTGAAACAAAAGCTGTTTTTGACAAATGTCTTATATCAACGAAATCCCTTACGTTGCGTTCTGATCAAGTTCGTACGATTTTTGGATAATATCGCAGTTTCATAGCGTTCAAAATTCCACATATCAAAATATTTGGTTTTAGTTGATTTCTAAATATTATTTGTCCATCGGTTTCATTTCTTCAATCATTACACATTACAAGTATTTTCGATCGCAAACAAAAACACGCTCCTTTCATACGGCTCTTTCTCAATGCATTGTTGGTTGGATAATGATACGCGATAGATGAATGAATGGTTCAGACTGGTTCTATGTCATTTCAATTGTTTGTGCAAGCCACAGAATTCTCTCGATTTGTATACTTTATCAGCCTAAATTCGTAATAAAATCCATTCCCAATTCTTTTTTAGCTGAATTGTAGCATTTTCGGGAATATCAACGAATAGCTCAGTTGCTAGTCGGCACACAACGTTATTATCATACGTCAATTAAGCATGCATTTCACTCGCATTCAATCATTCGATGATCCTTTCGATAAACATTCAGTATATTCGGTGCGATTAAAGAAATCTCAGAAAAGTCCAAGATGATTCAAATTAGATTTTAAGACAATAATGCTCAGCGAAATTTATTGCATTCTTCGATCGCGTGGTATAAACAATTGAACATTGGACAATACCAAATCCTAATTTGTTTACATTCCAACAAAAATGTGGCGAATGAGTTTGTTTTGGCAACAGTTTGTTTATATCACTCAGCGAAACCTACCGCGATAAGCGACACTCGCAATAATGGAATTTGTGATGAAATTCCGAATATTTCAAGGTAAATTTATCCATAGTTGGTCAGAAGCAGAATGTTTGGGGAAGGTGACTTTTGGTATTTATTTTTAATGAAATGATCTCCAAAAAATGGGAATGAATTTCTAAAAATAATGAAATGATCTCGGAAAAATAATTGAAAACTGTCACGAATAAAAATGAAATGATAGCGAAAAATAATTAAAAGTGTACTGAAAAAAAAGAAACGGTCTCCAAAAAATAAATGAAAACGATCTCCAGAAAAAATAAAATTATACAGCCGAAAATAATAAATTGTCATCTAGAAAAAATGAAATTATTTGCAAAAATAAACGAATTGGTCTCCAAAAAAAAATAGAATGGTCTTTATTCTCTATAAGAAAATCTTATTTTGGCTACCTTAAAAAATAAACTGGTGTTTAGAAATAAAAAATTGCATCCAAAAAGCTTCTTTTTATCTCTACTAGGCTCGCCCGTGGTCAAAATTTGACCACACAAACAAAAAAATTACTA